CAAAATTTCATGAGTTTTTGAGCATGTTTAGGCCCTCAAAAAGGCCCTTGTTTGGGGTGAATAATAATAATAATAATAATAATAATAATAAGAAACGGAGCAGATACAATAGGGCCTTCGCACTCTCGGTGCTCGGGCCCTAATAAGAAACGGAGCAGATACAATAGGGCCTTCGCACTCTCGGTGCTCGGGCCCTAAATATGTTACATATCCCAAATACAGTAAGAGTCATTAATCACTCCTGTATCTAAGTCACAGTGGCCTTTTTGTAACCGTACCTATATACTGTTTTTAACCACAAAACCACTGGAAAACACTACACACATACACCCAAGAGTCAGAGTCTAAACCCAACCAAATTATTGATTATCACATTTCTAGATGAAAGATTTTTTTGTTAAATGTTTATAGGCCCGTGAGTCTTTGGCACTGGCACTGCAGAATAGTTCTGTCTGTTGTAAAATCCATCATCTATTTTCTTGCCCACTTATAGAGTGCAAATGTGGGTTTGTTGGAGCCTGTCCCTTCTGTTATTTGGCAAAAGGTGGAGTACACCCAGGACTGAGCCCGAGTCTACCACATGGCCAACACAGAAAGACAGACCACCATTCACAATCCCATCTATAGTTGATTCAAAATAATTTATTTTCATTTGATGAATGAAAAATGTGTTGTTATTAAAAAACTGGGATTTTTTTAATACTTACAACATTTTGAGTGTAGTGTAAATACGACAAGTCCAAAGTGACAGTGCTATCTCCTGGGAATGTTTCTGATGAAACATCCATGGTAATGATTGACCAGACAGTCATCGACATTAAAGACACTATATAAGGCTGGAGTTAAGAAAAAACACTGAACTGCACAAACTCCATGAGATCCAACATGACAGTGTTTTTTCCATTGTTGCTGCTAATCTGCACTCTCTCTACAGTTCAACTTGAAATAAACTCTGACAGCAAAATTATTCCACTTTTAAATCAGGGAATGGAAACAGCACAAACCTCTGACCCTGAGCAAACATGTAAACCTGACATCAATTCTGTTCTGAGAGAGATGAGTGCCTTGTTGGCTGAACTGAAAGCAGAGATTAGACACTTACAGAAAGAGAATGAAGGTACAGTAGTATGTAATGGCACAAGAAACCACTGCTTTAATTCACTGAATTATGTCTTACTTTTAATTTTTTTCTGTTTTTTTAGCACAGGCAGCTAAGGTCAGAGAACTGGAGTTACAAAAGACGGAGTTGGACAAGCTGAAAGAACAGCACGAAGGTTAGTTTTGGGTGAATAGTTTATTTTTTATTGGGGTTTCTCTGTGGCTGGTTGCTGTGTTAGATTTTACTCCCTATAAGCAACAAATTGGGACATTGTCAGAAGACTCGTGTTTCAAAGGAAACATTTACTGTACCTGAAAATTCAAAAAATTAAGGAAAACTGAGTAGGACAAGAGAATCTCATTGAACTAAGTTACTCTAAACATAACATAGCGGGAACACTAAAACATAGATGCTTACCTTATTATATATCAGTGAGAAGCATACTCAAGTTGCAGTTTAACTAGTAGCAATACACCAGCATTCTGGACCTTTTTCAGGTGATCCAGGGATGATTTGCTCAGCATATAGAATAAATAATTGTAATAATCAAGATGTGATGCATGTTTGGTTGCTTGCATTTTGTACTGAGAAACAGGATATATGTCCTGTGAGGGACAG